AAAGGTGCTTATTGCTTCTATATTGACGTATGTTAAACATTTAACCTATCTATACTTCTACTGGCAAACTAGTAAGGAACCCTTGGTAGAATTATTCATTTTATTTTGCCATCTTTTAAGTTTAGAAATTCTTATTGTTCCCCAATTTGCGTGTCTGATAATAAGGCCATGATTTTTAGATGTCAAATGTCCACTTCACATATTTTCTTCTGTTAATTAGCCATTTTTTGACTTGGGTCATCCACTTTTAATTGGAAAATTAACATTTCTACTGTAAAAGCTATTTCTATGTTTAAATATAAACTTCCATCATAAAAAAATTATGAGATGCACTAAATGTCTGAATACGGACTGTTGCCGAGCTGGGAGAACCTGTCTAGCATTCACTAAGACTCTACAAAAGAACCTCTAGGGACGCCTCACACTGGATACCTTACAAAATCCAGCCATAAAACTTGCCCCCCAAAGGTTACATATAGTCTATAAAATCAAAATGATGTGCTTATTTCAACTCATAATTCCTCACCTTAAACTCATTTTTTGTTTTTAATATTTTACCAAGTATCTAACTAGAAAGGTTATTTCTTAAGAAATATATATTTTTTTACTTTGAAGAAAAATCCCCTTGTTCCCTCCTTAACATTTAATAAAGACAGGATGCTTCAAAACCATGGTTAAGTACACATAACCAAAAACAGAAACTTTCCCATTTGGGGGCCTCTGGCATTAAGTCACCAGGCTGAGCAAGAGACAGGATCAGGTCCCACCTCTGCTACAAACAAAAATCAGCTCAAGACTACATGGAGAGCCACAGAGGCCTTTCTCACCCCATACACACAGGGCCAATAGAAGATGCTCGCAGCAGCACGTGCAGGGCTCTGTCACCCATAATGATGCCACATTCTACAGCACTGGCTAGACGATCATGCCTGCCCTGCAGCTGTGGGGTACAGAAGAGAAGGACAAGGCTCCCAGCCTTTCCAGCCAAACCTCAGATGCCAAGAAGCATCTACACCCTCTGACCCTATGAGCACCATCTCAGGGAGCTCATCATAGATTAACGCTTGCATATGTTACATTTTCAATGCCAAATAAGGGCTGTGGTAACAGGCTACATTAAAAATACCCAAGGAACCCAAAAAGAAGGTGTATTTTATTTTGTTTTGTTTTGTTTTTTAATTTGTTTTAAATGCTTATTTATTTTTGAGAGAGAGAGAGAGACAGAGTGAGTGGAGGAGAGCAGAGAGAGAGGGAGACACAGAATCCAAAGCAGGCTCCAGGCTCCGAATCGTCAGTACAGAGCCCGACATGGGGCTCGAACTCACGAGCTGTGAGATCATGACCTGAGCTGAAGTCGGACACTCAACTGAGTGAGCCACCAAGGTGCCCCATTTTATTTTGTTTTTTAATGTTTATTTATTTATTTTGAGAGAGAGAGAGAGAGAGAGAGAGAGAGAGAGAGAGAATCCCAAGCAGGCTCTGTGCTATCAGCACAGAGCCCAATACAGGGCTCTATCTCATGAACTGTAAGATCATGGCCTGAGCCGAAATCAAGAGTCAGATGCCTAATTGACTAAGCCACCCAGGCGCCCCAAGGTGTATTTTGTCTGGAGACGTTGTTGACAACATTATATAATGGTATAAGACCATATCTCTTTCATTAAGGCCCAGGGGGAAAATGTCTCCCACATCCAAGCGCCAGGGAAAACTGCACAACTGGTATTTTATCTTAAGGACACCATGCATTTCAGAACTGCTGATTTCCCTCTGTCAGGACTCTTAAGTAGCTTAGAACAGAATGTACCTTTATTAAATGTACAGGGATTCACGTTTACATTTCTGGGTACTAACTACCTGGCTGGCTTCATTTTACAGTCTACCCCAGGTTACCTGTACCTTGACCTATCTGTCCATTTTTACCTTACCATATAGTTTTTTTGTGAACCACCTCTAATTTTTTTTGAAAGCAGAGTAAAAAATACATACTAGAAACCCAAGACACATCCCTAGGGGGAAAAAAGTCCATGCCAATTGTGGTTGTGGGGAGATTCTCTCATTTGGTTTCCAAATCTTTGTAGTGTGTGACCCACCACACTTTTACAATAAAAAATGCTATTAAAACCCAACATCAAATGGCAAACACTAAACTCCAGTTGCCCTCTAGCAAAGGGTAGCAAGTGCTAAGAGGATGCTCTCACCCTCAAAGGGCAGACTAACTGGGGCCAGGAAGGAAGGAAAGCAGCAGGTATTGCAGGAGCCACTGGCTTACACATCCCGGGAATGGGTGAATGAACTGTGCTATGTTTACTATGGTATATTTAGCTATGCCACAGCCTACTGGTTTTATTCAGTGAGCCAGGCTTAGGTAAACTCAGTGAAGCCTCGGCATCTGGGCACGGGTGGTGTTATGGGCTGAATCCTAGCCACCCCCGATTCATATGTTGAAGTCTTAACCCCCCAGGATCTTAGAATGTGACCAAATTTAGAGACTGGATCCTTACAGAGGTAACTGGGCCCTAATTCAATGTGACTTGTGTCCTCATAAGATGCAACACAGGAAACAGACACAAAAGGAAAACCACGTGAAGATACATGAAGAAGAGAAGCATCTATAAGCCAAGGAGAGAGAGGCCTGGAACAGAGCCTTCCTTCATGGCCCTCAGAAGAACCAACCATGTGACATCATGGTCTCTAACTTCTAGCTTCCAGAACCCTGAGGGAATAAATGTGCTGGTTTAAGCCACCCAGTGTGAAACTTTGTTATGACAGCCCTAGCAGATTAACATAGGTGGGAAGCAAGTGGCTGGCTCCCACCATTTGACATGCATTCACTCATTTATTCTGCACTATAATGCTGAAGCTGAGGTGCTATTTTTATCCCTGATTTCGAAAGGAGGGAACAGAGGGTGAGAGGTGCACAGCTCGCCCCAAGTCACATAAGATAGCAAGCTGCAACCTGATTTGAGATCTATCACCTGGCTCTATGTTTTATATCACACTGTCCACATGTGAGAGATCACCAAGGTGATCTGGTCAGACATCCTCATGTTACAAATGGGAAGTCTGAGGCCCTGGAAGCTCAGGAGTTGTCCAAATAAGCAGCTGGATAAACACATTAAGATTCCCTACCCCCAGTCTTGCATTCTAACTCACCAAAATAAAGTATCTTAAAATGGATGGGGATGGCTTAAACCAGAGGACTGGATCTATGACAGGGGTATCTCACAAAGACAAGGTAGGCAAGGCCCCACAGGACCTTTAGAGAGTCGACATCATCTGCCCATATGGCATCAACACTGAAGAGAGAGGGGCGCCTGGGTGGCTCAGGTGGTTAAGTTAAGCATCCAACTCTTGATTTTGGCTCAGGTCATGATCTCATTGTTCATAAAATTGAACCCTGCATGGGCATGACGGCACGGAGCCTGCCTGGGATTCTCTCTCTGCCCCTCTCCTCCACCACTCTCTCCCTCAAAAAATAAACATTAAAACAAACAAAAACACTGAACAGAGAAACCTGCAATCACTAGGTGTCTATCTCCCTGAATACCAAGGAAATGTCCTCACTTGCTGGTCAAGGTGGCAGGAAGATGATGCTCAAAGCTACGATGAGATCACAAATAAATGAATGAACCCTGTGAAGCAATGACAGTTAGTACACCTGATCTGCAGTGTGACCTTGGGTAAGTCACTTTCTCTTTCCGATCTTCAGTTTTCTCACATCAAAAACATTAACAGGAACCATACGTGGATATGTATAACGTGCATGGCAAAGAACTAGCTGCTGCACACACACAACTCATTTGATTTCTAGAATGGCCCCAGGGTGTGTTATCCCTGTGGCAGTCTTCAGAATGCACTGCTCAGATCTCCCCTCAAGGGTTGTCAGGCTATGAGGCATGGAGGGAGCTGAAAGCCTCCAGCTTCCACCTGTAGGATCAATCACAGCTTTTGCCCTGAAGTCAGTCTCCCCAGACTGCCAGCCAATGACTGGTCACGGTGGGCATCCTAGAGCCAGGCTGTTTCTGACCCATGCTAGAATTCTTAGGCTTAGACTTCTTCTAATGAGCAAACTTTGTTGGCTGAGACTTCTTCAGAGATATGCTACCGTCTAAGCCTCTTCCCATTCAGTCTTATCTTTTCCCTCTCCCTTTCCCCAGCACCAGACCAGTATAGATTGAAAGCTCTCCTGCCTACTCCTACTCCCTCTCCTTTATCCTTCATTGTCATTTCCCCCAATAAATCTCTCACACAACTAACTCTGTCTTGGTATCTATGTCCCATTTCACAGATGAGGAAACTGAGGCAATTAGCATGATTAAAGTCAGATAATTAGGATCCAACCCTACACCTCTGATTCTAAAACCAAAGTTCTGAACTGATGGTTTAAAGAATGAAGGAGAAAGTGTGCTGATATACCTTGCAAAAGATATGTTATAGAAATTCATGTGATTATTAGCAAAATGCAAAGTGGTGCCATGGGAAGGGCACGGTATCAGGAAGATGCTCTAACATTTATTAGCAGAAGGACATTCAATAGATGAGTCTTTTAATATTATCGTATTTTATGGATGACAAAACTATCACTGAACCTGCTTACCTCACAAGATAGTTGCTATAATCAAATGAGACTCATCCTCCAAGAAAGAGTGGAAGCTTCTGCTAACTGCAAAGCATTATGCAAGCATGTAGGGGCAAAAGGAAAATGGCCCTGAATCTGATGAATTCTACCAAAGGGAGTAGTGCCACTTCTCTTAAACAAGTCCTCAAAATATGGGAAATGATTATAGGATGGAGAAAACAAAGGGCAAAGTTAAATATTCCAAATGGCTCTTATTTACGCTCACATCACCACACCTAGAACAGTGCCTGGCACACACCAGGCACTCCATAAATAACTGTTCGACAAGAAGGACTTCAAAAAGACCTCCAACCACTATCTTTCTGTGCTCCAATAGAGAGGCCCAAGCTTCCCCCATAACCTCATGTGGAAAGCAGGATACCTGGCAGTTCATGTTGTCCTCCGCCTCAATGAGCTTCCCACGATACACCTCGCCGGTGTTTGTCTCACATGTCACGATGTGACCCTCAGCCTCGTGTAGGACTTTAATCGGCACACCAATAGACATCTTGGCAGGAAAAGAGTTCTACAGTGAGAGAGACACCAGTTAGTTCATCTTTCAGAGCCTGAGAAGTCATGTGGCACATATCATGCCTCCCTTAAGGCCTGACACTCCATCAAACTTAGTAAGAATGCCAAAGCTGCCATTTTGTACAGAAAAAATGCTTAACTCCTAGCTTGAAGAACTTATGTGGGATGGGGAAGGATGGGGGGCTGGAGAGACGGAAGGCTAATGGGATGAGAAGAAAGCATCTTCCATCTCCCTCCATGCTACCATATGCCCCTTTATCTTCATCAGATAATCAGTAACCAATACTGTGTGTGTACACAGTACATCAGGGAGCTGAGATGTAAATGCCATACAATGTTTTTGGCAACCCAGAGATGTGGATGACACCACTTTGAGAACCCATGATGTAGACCTAGCCAATACAGTAGCCACGGTCCACATGTAGCTATTTAAACTAAACTTAAAGTGAAATAAAATGAAAACGAAACATTTACTCCCTCAGTCACATTAGCCACATTTCAAGTGGTCAATGGTCACATGTGGCTAGTGCTTACAGTACTGGGCAGTGCAGTAAAGACAAAAGGACCCAGGCAAATCTAGAAGGGGCTGTGCATTTAATTCAACCCATTAAGTACTCTTTGACCCTCCACTTACATCATCAAGGTTAAAAGCAAAAGTGTTCACAAAGAGACAACAGCCATAAGCAGGAAATGCTTGGAGGAGAAACATAATCAGGGCAATCACCTGACTTGATACAACTCAGAGACAAGCAGTAGATTTCGTATTCCCAGATGAGCAAGTACCGAAAGTTAAAATACATCATGTGTGTTCAAGAGAGGAAAGGGAACATGAGGGTAGGAAAGACAGTCACCCTTGGTGAGGAGCCTCAGGAGTCTGATTTTATGCTGAAACAGTGGGGAACTACTGCAGGATTATAGGTAAGGAATGACCCAATATAAAGGCAGAAGCACTTACAAAATGGATCAAACACAGCTTATTTTTTTTCAAACACAGTTTAGGAGCAAGGAAACTTGATAAAACTTCTGTAACAATATGGAAAATATTGAGAGGATAAGTGCCTGAAAAGGGGATGGAGGCAGAGATGCAAACAACTTTGAAAAATATTACCCAGATGGGACTTGGGCGAAGGAAGTCTGCCAGAAATGATTTCAACACTACTGCTTGTATGTTCGGGAAAAAAACATGGCCTGGAGAAGTACAGAACGCGAAGGGCATGTACTTTGGGGAAAAGTGAACGAACTTCCAGGCGCTAGCGAGGCAACGCTGATGTTTGAGTGACCCGGGCTTCCCGCTCTTCTCTCTACCCGAGCCTCCCAGAGCTCCTCGGCGGCGCGTGCTTCTCCAGCCCCAGAACCCTCACAAATGCTTCGGTCTACCCTCGCCTGCCCCAAGCCTCACCTCACCGGCTCCGGCCTACTCTTCCTTTCCCGTGTGGCAGCAAGTCGAGCAACTACGAAGGTGTGAGCCAAGGAATGGCGGGTCCCGCGCTCCCAGAATACCACGCGTTCCCAAAATGCTGCGCGCAGAGCCCGCCCCTTTCCTTTTCGTAGTGGTGAGCGCGGTCCTGCCTTTGCTTCCTCCTCACCCTACCGACCGGGAAACGTGGACTCTGGTACGATAGTTCCGGCCCCGGAAGAGAGGGCTGGTGACGGCGCCCAGGTGTCGCCGGAAACACTGATCCTGGGGCGGCAAGGGGGGGTGGGGAACTCGCGTTTCCAAACACCTCACACCAGGGACAGGATGGACTGTGAGACGGGGATCCGGGACCTGGGCTCTCGGATCGGGGGCAACAGGTGGAGGGGCCGAGGGCCAGGACCTCCCCTCACAATTTAACCTTTGGAACCGGCACTGCCAGGTAAGGGGAGCCCTCAGTAAGGCGAGGTATCTCACCATACGAGTAGAGAAACAGGTATAGAGAGTAGAGCTGGGGCCGACCCAGAGCCGGCCCTCAGCGAGTCGCAGTAGTGTTAGGTCTTCTTGAACCCCGCGGTGTACGGGTAAGACCTGGCCTTAGTCTAGCAAAGAAACTGCCGCTGAGAAGAGACTGAGTTTGCGAAGATGAAGAGTCTCTGGGGAACCAAGGCTCGCGGAAAGGTAGGGCTTCGGGGCCGTGCTCAAGAAAAAGGGCGGAGCTTCCGGGGAACGGAGGCAGGGAAGGGCCTGCGCGCCTGTGCGTGGTGGAGGGGAAAGGGGCGGGGTCACAGGGAGCTGACATTGCCATTAGCCAGGACCCGCTTAGATCCTGAGGCCTGGGGCCTCTAGGAATAGAAGTCGGGGGAGGGGAAAAGAAGGGGAGGGGCCTCCTTGAGGCAGGGAAGGGGTGGGGTTTAGGAAAGGGGCGGGGCCTGACCCGAAGCCTGGAAGGGGCGGGGCGGGGCTTGGGGCGGCCCTGCCACCGCCTCCTCTTCTCCCCACCGCGGTGGCGGTGGCAGTGGCGGCGGCAGCGGCGGCGGAGGAACCTGACACGCACCGGCCCCACTCCCGCCCCAGTCGAAGCCGAAGCTGCAGCCGGCGCCGGGCGGGGGCCATGGGCGCCCCGCGCGGCCCGGGTCATGAGGACGGAGGCGGAGGCAGCGGGGCCGCCGCTCGAGCCCGGTCAGTGCCTCCCCGAGGGCCCAGCCCTCACCCCGGGGAACGAGGGGGACTCCGCCCTAGCGCGGGCAGGGTCCGGCCGCGCGACCTTGGGCCGACCGCCGCCACGGGCCGGGCTGTAGGGCTTTGAGCGACACCTGGCCAGGTGTATACACTCCCGCCTTGGCCGCTTATCCCCAGCCCCGGTCACTTGGGATTTCCTAATACTCTTAGGGCTGGGACCCCAGTCAGCTCTGAAAGCGGTCATGGTGGGAGGGTCCTGGTTTCGAGGCAAGGGCGGCACCTTGCCCAGAAGCGAAAAGTCCTGCTGGAGCCGCCTTAGGAGATCCCGTCCCCTCCCGGAACTCTGGGGTAACTGAGGCCTAGAAGGGCCGGGACCTGGCCCAGAGCACAGAGCAATGGGTGTGCCCCTTACCCTGGCCTCCCAGGGTCAGCGTTTTGTCTTGCAGTAGTTCTTGACCCTCTGGTTCCTTCTGCCCTCAGGTGGCCTGAGTTTCTTTGGGGCAGAAACCAAGACTGAAATTTAGTGCCTTGGGCTTCAGTTTGCTTTCCTGAGTGGGGGAGGGGAAAGGCAAAGATTCCTGTTCTCAGGGTTGATTATAACAAGAAAGTGCTAGTAAACTCTGAGGTGAGGTGCCAACTCAAGGGAGAGGTCAATAGCATGTGTGACCCAACCCTAAGACATCAGGGAGCTTGGTGTCACAACCAGAGAGGGGTCTCTTTTGTGAATGCAGCAGAGCATAGGGTCTGATGCTGTCCTGATTTTTGCATCCCTACTCTTCCAGTTATCTAACTCTGTGATCTTGGATCAGACACTTGGTTTCCTGAGTCTCAGTGAAGTAATAGCTCACATTCATAGGGAGCTTTCTCTGAGCAAGCACTGTGCTAAGTTGTTTACATGCAGTGCCTTATTAATCCTCATAAGGACCCTGTAAAGTAGGTTACCATTGTTACTTGCACTTTTGCACACAAGCAGATAGAGCTGAAAGGAGCTGTAAGTATCCAGGACCAATGAGCTACCTACCTTCTTTGGCAACAGCTGCCAACTGAAGCCAGGCCAGGGCCTAACAGGCAAACCTTATTTTCAGGTGAGACAAAGCCTTGGCTCCAAGCATCAACATCTGGCAGCAGTTCTGGACTTAGAAGGCCTTGCCTCCCCTTATCTCTCCCACAGCAGTAGCTCTGGATCCCTGTGGGCTAACTTGCCCATGCCAAGACTGGAGATGGCCATGTGGAAGTGTTTAGCCTTGTGCGGCCTCAGAATCAAGGGGTTCTAGGGACCAGGGCAAGAAGAGGAAGAGCACACAAGGGCCCTAGGGAGCAGCTGTCCTGTGCCACATTTATAGCTGAGAATAGGGGAACAGAGTCAAAGCCTGGCCAAAGATGACCAGCTAGCCAGTGCCAGAGCCTGGGCCACAGAGTGAGGAGGGAACCGTGAACAGAGGGCCGTAGTCTGGAAGCCAGGGTGGGGGTTAAAGAGGGGGTTGGGGCATTGCCATGACAAGTAGGCCTAGGCATCTCAAGAGATAAGGCCTTTTTGGAAAAACACCTTCCATTCATCAAGCATGTATGAGTGTCAAAGGGCTGGGAAGAGGCAAATGCAACCCTGTCCCTGCCTGCCACTGAGGTATTCGCAGTCTGTCCAGTGGGGAAGGCAGGCACGATCACATCAAATACTCCATATTGAAGGGCTCAGAGAGGGAAAGAGACCAGAGCATTTGGATGTTCAGAGATGGGAGACAACATTCCAGACAAGGGATTTGCAAGAGCAAAGGCTGGGGAGTAAACAGCCTATGTAGAGAGAAACAAAAAGGTGGGTTCTTGCCACAGTGAAGGATTCTTGAAAAGCTACACCTTCCACCACAAGAGAACAGCACCCTGCTCTCTCTCCACTCAACCCATTGCAGGGATTTTTTTTTTTTAACATTTTATTTATTTTTGAGAGAGAGACAGAGCACAAGTGGGGGAGAGACAGAGAGAGAGAGAGAGAGAGAGAGAGGGAGACACAGAATCCGAAGCAGGGGCAGAGAGAGAGAGAGAAAGAGAGCGGGAGACACAGAATCCGAAGCAGGCTCCAGGCTCCCGAGCTGTCAGCACAGAGCCTGACATGGGGCTCGTACCCACAAACCATGAGATCGTGACCAGAGCCAAAGTCGGACACTCAACCGACTAAGCCACCCAGGCGTCCCCCATTGCAGGGAATTTTTAAGAATATGATCTGGAGAGCAGGACTTGGGATTTAGTTAGTGTTCTCAGATCGTAGCACACATTGATTGCTTAATAAGTTCATTTCTTCCAACAAATGTTTGTTGAGTTACTGATAAGCATCAGACACTAGGCATTGGGAATAACAGTCAACAAGATTAGCAAACTCTGTCATCAGGAAGCTTACGATCTTGTGGGGAGATGGAGTAACTCTATTTTATTTTTCTTTTTCTTACTAATTTTGCTAAGTACTATGAAGGAAACAAACAGGATGCTGGGAAGGGGGTCCTTCTCCCCTGAAGGCATGGTCAGAAAAATCCTCTCAGAGGAGGAGCATTTGAGCTGGGACCTGAATGACAAAAAGGGGCAGCCTTGAGAACTGCAGAGGAAAGTCCCAGACAGAGACTGCTGCATTTGCAGAGGGGTGGAATGAAGCTTGATGGGTTCCCAGGGTCACTGGGTGGAACTGGGTTCATGAGGTGTCAGGGCCAAGGTGAGGCTGGTGGGGCCCAGATTGGGCTGGGCCCTGTGGGCCATGGAATGGGGTGACAACTTTATTCTAAGAGTAATGGGAGCCTGTGGATGGGATCCCTCTGGCTACTGTGTACAGATGGGGGAGGAGCTGGAGGTAGAATTTGGAACAGAGGATAGGCAGAAGTCAGGCTGCACTGAGCCCTCAGAACTAAATCTATGGCAGTGGGAAGAGGCAAATGTGGGAGGCCTTGAATGATGGCCTGGGTTCCTTTTAGAGGCATCAGGGGACAGGGGAAGGAGGGAACAAAACCTCAGCCCAGTTGGGCTCAGTGTACTAGGCCCACCCTGGATGGAGGGCAGCATTCACGTCAGCACCTGCAAAGAGCTTTACACATGCTCTTGCCCTGAGTGCTCATAGCACTCTGCAGACTGGCATCTGTGGCGGTCCATTTCATAGAGGAAGAAGTAGGCACAGAGAGGTCAAATGCCTCTCCTCAAGTGACTCAGCCAACAAGAGGCCTGTACTCACCCACACCATCCTGCCATCCATACACCCTGCTGCTTGCACTTGGAGGTGAGGAATGGGGGGAGAAAGGCCAAGTATAAGACAGTGAAGGAGCAGTCACAGGTCCCTGCCTCCTGGGAATGTACAACAGCTCAGCAGGGCACAAACAAGTTCAATGCAAGGGTCTTGTGAGCCAAAGCGTGAACTCTGGCCTGACAGAGTGCAGATGAGGGAAAAGGCATGGCCAGCTTAGGATCAGAGAAGGCACCTGGCATCTGCGCCAGACCTTGCAGGCTGGGGAGAGTTTAGACATAGGAGCATAGGAGCTTGGGACTCACTCCAGGCAAGACACTGCCCAGACAAGGCCAGCAGGTTGAAAAGCCAGGAGAGACATCAGGGCCCTTCTGGTTGCTACATGCGGGAGCCAGGGCTGGCATAGCAAGCCCGCTTCTGGCGCAGCTCTGCACAGACAGGTCATGGGTTCAGAAGAGACCCCAGAGACTCCCAAGATGAGGAAACAATGTGGGATGGGTTTTCACATGCTGAGTGGGTGTCATGAATGAGCAGTGAGTGGTGATAGCTGAAGTGAAGTCCCTCCCATTTCTCTAGACTCTGAACTTTGTCCAGATTGTGGGATCCCAGAGTAGGAGGTTCCAATAGGCCACATGCCAGCTGGCCCCTGCCTTAGCACTTCAGTGCATGTTGTTCCCCCCTGTCTTCCTTTTCCTCACTGTCTCTCTAAGACATACCCCCACCATTTCCCCAGACTAGCCCTCTGATTTTCTCTTACACTTGCTTGTTGTTGCTGACCACCAGGACAGGGATCTGTTTATGTCACTTACCACCACATCTCCAGTTCACATCCAGGTGCTAGGCTCTTGGGAAATATTTGTTGATTGAATGACAGAATCAGACCAAAGTCCCCCACTTTAGAGATAGCCAAACTCAGTCCAGCAAGAGGAAGTCAGTTGCTCAGCCCACAGCCAGCCTGTGACAGAGCTGGGGCTAAAATGCTTAGGTTGGGTACTTTCTGCTGCTCCACACTGTATGGCAAGAATAGACTGAGAGGTCACCTAGGGTAGCGTTGCACATACACAGATTACATGACACTATCCCTTCCTTCTAACCATGGACTTCACACTTTGGTGGCCCTGGGGGGTTTGGAGTTAGGTAGACCACGAGGGGCCTCATGAATTCAGACTTGAATATCTGCTGAGCATCTCCCATGTGCCTGCCCTGTCCCAGCCTCCTCAGAGATCCCACCAAAAAGAGTGCTCTAAAAGAGAGGCCTGTGGGTCTGTGAGTGCATGTAGCGGGGGGCTATGCATGATGGAGGCAACATCGTGGAGAAGTGATACCCAAAGGCAGGAGTTAGGTCAGGCACCTGGGAGGCCAGGAGAGTTCAGGCAGGGGGAAGAGGTGTGCAAAGGCCCTGGAGCATAAGGGATCACAGCAGGTGAATGTTCTGCCTAGAGGTAGGCCCAATGAGGATGAGGGAGGCAAGAAGGCAGAGGGTGCTGGGGCAGCAGCCATGAAGGCATTGTCCTAAGAGATGCAGGAACCAACCCATTGCAGGGTTTTGTGCAGGGCTGGCCTACTCTGACTGGTTGTTTTGGGGAGATTACTGCTGTTGTAAGGAGAATGGATTGGGGCACCTGAAAGGCTGTTTACCAGCTTCTGAACAGCCCCTACCGGATCTGGGCAGGAGCCAATGATGGTGGCTCCAACAGGGGTGGCAGTGACAGGCACAATGCCAAAGGTCTGTGACTTCCTTGTGTTTCCACACAGGAGACTTTGTGCAGCTGCCCGTGCCCATCATCCAGCAGCTCTACCACTGGGACTGCGGCCTGGCCTGCTCCAAAATGGTGCTGCGGTGAGTGCTCAGGCCTAGACTCTTCCCATCCACACCATCTGCTCTGGCTGAAAGGAGAAACAGGGCGAGACCTGGGTGGGATTCATCATCCATATGGCTATTCATGGTTGGGGTTTACAGGAGGCCCAGCTTCCATCCAGGCTTGGTTCCATCTGCAAAAGCAAGCAAAGGGTGGACTAGGCTCGGGGGATAGCCAAGGAAGACCCAGGTGCCCAGTCCTGGCCCACAGAGTGACCCCATGACAGGGACATGGGACCTTCCAACCTCAGGCTCCCTAGTGACTGTGTCACTGGGGAGCCGACTGTTGAACTAAGGCTATGTGAATGAATATCACAGGAACCTTAGGCATCAGAACATAGAGGGACCACAGTGATCTCCTTGTAGGAGATTTTTCAGGCAGCTGCCAGGAACCTCAGAGCAACCTCTCCCATACCTGTTTTATATCTTGGAATTCCAGGAAAGACAGTGTTCAACAAAAGTGTTCTGTGTCTGAAACTTAGAAAACCACTGATGTGGTCCAAGCATCTCATCCTAGAGATGAGGCCAGAGTGGTTGGCAACTTACCCAAAGTCACACAACCTGCAAGAGACTCAAGAAGCAGAATCCTCGACTCTGGGGCCAACACAGTGCCTCAGGCAGCCTCACGCTGTGCCCAAGAAGTAGACAAGATGTAGGATCATGACAAAGGATGGAGCCTTCTGATAGTGGCTGGTGGGCCCTTGGGAGGAGGATGACCCCAGCTAGCTTGGCAAGCCAACCTCAGCAGCCTGTCTGCCCACAGGTACCTGGGCCAGCTGGACGACAATGAGTTTGAGAGTGCCCTGCAGGAGCTGCGACTAACCAGGAGCATCTGGACCATTGACCTGGCTTACCTAATGCGCCACTTTGGTGTGAGGCACCGTTTCTGCACACAGACCCTAGGCGTTGACAAGGGCTACAAGAACCAGGTGAGCACTCAACTGCCAGGCCATCACCCAGGCCCAGTAATTGAAAAAGGGTATGGTCAAGGCCTGGACACCCGAGTGGGCACACAGGTGCACAGAGACCGGGGAACAGCAGCAAATGTCCAGTGGGCAGGACATTCGAAGCAGTCAGACCGGGTGACCTTGAGGTCCAGCCTGCCCAAAGCATCTAAGCAGTGAGAGCTGCCTACCTTCAAGAACACTTGATGATGTGCAGGGGAGCATCTCAGGCCGCCTTCTGTGTCCCTCCTTCCTGTTGTCCAGGGCCTTTGAGCATGTCACTCTGACCTCACCCTGCTGCCACTTGCCCATTTTCTTCCTTGTCACAGGGACAGCCGGCTCCAATCTGGGTAATTGCTATTCAGGAAGAAAAACTAAAATGCCACCTTTCCTATTTTTTTCTTTTTGAAATAGAATGTCAACATAGCCTCGCCATTATACCAGTGCACCCCCACCCCCCAACCCGTGTAGTTAGAGCCAGTCTTGCCTGCTGCAGAGGCACATGTCGGCCCAGGCTCCAAAACTTGGCAGAACACAGTCTCTCCTGGCCTCGCTGGCAAGAGGGTTGTCACATGGTGGCCAGTGCCAGTCAACCTAACTCTCCTTTGAACCTTCCAGGCCAGGGGAAGAACGCTAATGGATCTGGCTTGATCACTGTGGCTGCAAGTCAGAGAAAAGAACCCAAGAACAGGGTCTCTCCTGCCTCCGCCCTGAGGGCTTTAGCCCCCTTAAGTCCCCTATGCCAAATAAAGTATGTCCCATGAATCTCATCTTGCTAAGCCAAGCAGTGGAGGAGCATCTGGGTGGGCTCAGCCACCCCTTTTGCTCATTTACCACAGACTCCCACTGATGTCCTTGGGGTTCACAAGCCCAGGGATGACTAGCCTTGCTGGGGGAGCTAGGCTGCCTGAGCTCAACTGCCTACCTGTCTCCTGAGCGTCCTCCTCATGCCTCTGTGTGGTCCTGTGCATTCTGGCCAGCCATCCTGCCGGCTTGAGACAGACGCAGCTTTCTGCCCAGGTGTGCTGCATCTCCCCTAGCAGGCCGGGCTCATCCCCTCTTTCACCATCTTTAACTCCATAACATGCTCTTTACTTCATCCAAATGGGGTGAGGACAGCCAGGACAGGCATCCCCTCCAGCCTGCTCTTCCCTCTTCAGTCCTTCTACAGAAAGCACTTTGACACAGAGGAGACCCGGGTGAACCAGCTGTTTGCACAAGCCAAGGCCTGCAAGGTGCTGGTGGAAAAATGGTGAGCCTCCCCTCACTCTTCCTTGTGCACCTACTCACCCACATATTTACTATGGGGGAGGCCTTGGGATGATGTACAGGAAAGGCTAGGGACTTGGCAGTCAGGCAGAACTGGGCTTTCCTACCCAGAATCTTGGCCAATTCTGAGGCTAAGGGCACAGAGACTTGGGCTCCTAGGCCTTACTGTTTCCATCCATAAAATGGGGACAGGTGGCTACACAAAACTCTGGCCTCAGGTGGCTCACGAGCAGGGGCTGGAGGAACAAGTGAGCAAGACAGACTCCAGCCTGCCCTCAGTCTGCTCACAGATGGTAGCATGAGACAGAACACAGGAACCCTTAATGAAGGGGTGACAGCCTAAGGAATATGCTGGCACGGTGATGGAGAGTAACGGGACAGCCCAGTGTGTAGGGTCTCTAGGGAGGCCTGGCTCTCAGATCTCCACAGACTGCTATGACCTTATGTGGGTCTCCCCCTTCTCAGCTATACGTGAGGAACACGATTCGGGCAGATCCTGGGAATCTGGAATCTTCCTCAGAATCTAATGACTTTCTTCTCCAGGCTCAGGCATGTTAGCTTTGATCCTGGTTGGGCTCCCCTAGACCACTCTTCTCAGGTCTTCCTATTCTTTACAGACCTATGTTTTCATTGTTAACATAATGTTACTGCATGATAGGTAATTGGGAAAATGGGAAAAGTCTCCACACATCCTTCAGCCACGTGAGCACACATTGGAAGGAAAAGAACAAATGTTTATTTAGTGGCACCTGACATGTGCTATCTTGTTGAGTGGGAAGCTGGTGCTGTCCCCATTCCTCAGGTGAGGAAACTGAGGATGGGAAAAATAGTGTGAGCTGCCCATGGTCACCTTCGGCAACTCGGCCATGCTGTGATCCAAACCTGGCTCTTCCACACCCAATTATTCCACGAAGCACGATGCATTTGTTCCAGCGCAGCCGCCGCTTTTTCTCTGTAGTTGAAATCCCATTCTTGTACGTACCATCGGGAACTCAGCCAGCTATTTCATTTCAAAGACCAAATGGAACAATGGCATCTTTCTCCAGGCTGAGGCAACCAAACCAAAGCGCCTTGTGACTTAGCCATGGGCTGGAGTTGGGTCAGGCCACGTAGTGCTAACGTTGCCACTCCTGAGGAGACTGCTGAGGAAGGAGGCCCCCATAGCCTAGGGAACCACCACTCCACAGCCCCTCTCCCCTTCTGGATTTGCTGCCTTTTGTGGGGCATTGAATGGGGCAGTGCCTGATAGTCTGCCTCAGGGAGCAGCTGGCTCAGCTGAACTGGGGGGTCCCCTGGAAACACGGCTGACCAGCCCTTCGTGGGCAGCACCGTCTGCCACAAGGAACCTTAGAGAAAAGAAAAAACAAAAAGAAAAATAGTCCTTTCAGAGAAGCATGTGGCTTTATTTTATTTAAGTTTTTTTTTTTTAAGTTCTTATTTATTTATTTTGAGATAGAGAACACGAATGGGGAAGGGGCAGAGAAAGAGGGAGAGAATCCCAAGCTGGCTCCGCAATGTCAGCACAGTGTCGTGACTCAAACCCACGAACCGTGAGATCATGACCTAAACCAAAACCAAGAGTCAGACACTTAACCTACTGAGCCACCCAGGCGCCCCGAGAAGCATGTGGTTTTAAAACTGATGAAGCCATGCTTGGCTCAGATTTTGGGAATTAAGTTGAACCGATAGCTTCCAATGTAAACTGCATGTGATTTAGGGTAAATGATCAAGGAGGGTGCTCAGCAAAAAAAACTTCACCAGCCAGGGTGGGAGGTGGGGTCCCATGTATTGATCCAGTGGCCCTTGACAGGGTCTCATCTGGAGCTGATGTGCCACCCCCTGCACTGGTCCCATGCTGAATCCTGCACTGGTCCCATGCTGAATCCTGGGCTGAGCTTGGGCCATAGTGACAAGGCAGGATGTTCCTATCTGCAAAGAGCTCAGGAGGGAGGGAAGTCAGCCATGTCCCCAAGCTTTGTGATCCAGGCAGGGGTCCACTTGAGAGATGGGGAATGGGACCCGATGGTGCCAGCTGACTCTCCTCCCGCCCACAGCACAGTGAGCGTGCAGGATATCCAGGAGCACCTGGCACAGGGCCACGTGGCCATTGTGCTGGTGAACTCTGGGGTGTTGCACTGCGACCTCTGCTCCAGTCCTGTCAAGTACTGCTGCTTCGCCCCCAGCGGCCACCGCTGCTTCTGCCGGACCCCTGACTACCAGGGCCACTTCATTGTTCTGCGTGGCTACAACCGCGCCACTGGCTGCATCTTCTACAACAACCCAGCCTATGCTGACCGTGAGTGCTGGGCGGGCTGGGGAGAGTGGGTGGGGCAGGCTGCATTCACAGTCCAGTCCCCATGATTCCTTCTCATTCAAGACCTCCCTCACTGCCTTCTCCCCAAACTTTTGCTCCTCCTGAGCTCCTGTCATCTGCGCTGCTTCTTTGGCCTACGCAGAGCAGCCACAAACCCGAGGCCCTGCCAGCCTCCACACCCTGGTCATTGCTACACCAGGCCAGGCCATCTCCCTCCCACACCGCTGCCCAGAGCCCTGCCTCACCCTTACTCTGCTGTCCCCCCACCCTGGTCCCTGCCATCTCCCTCATTCCAGCCCTCCCAGGACAGCTAGCAAACATACTTGTCAGAGAGGAAGGTCTGCCCAGTTCCAGCTCTTGCTCCAGATCCAGCAAGGGCTCCCCACTGTCCTGGGGAATGGGAAGGACTGTCCTCACTCTAGCACACTTACCCCATGTGTCCTCAAACATGTTTCTCCCCCTCTCTGGGCCTCACCTTCTCCATCTTCGAAACTGGGAAAGGGTCAGAGAATGAGCTCATGTAGCCTGAAATAGGCAAGGAAGGCTTCCTGGGGACGGAAGACGAGTGGCAAAGGGTGGCCAGTCGAGTGAGCCATGGTGAGATGTCCTCCAGCTCCCCTGGGCGCCAGTGAGGCAGGTACACCCCCCTCTACCTGCTGACCCCACTCTGCCCTTCCTGCCCTCAGCAGGAATGTGCAGCACCAGCATCAGTAACTTCGAGGAGGCCAGAACCAGTTATGGCACAGATGAGGACATCCTCTTTGTCTACTTGGACAGCTGACGGCGGGAGCCTGGTGTGCCCAGGCCCTCACACCCCACCCTGCCACACCCCAGTCAGGCCCACTCAGGAGGCCTTGGCACAGGCCCCGAGTTGCTAGGGCTTGGATGCAGAACTGCATCCAGCCTTGGCCCATGTGACAAAGCCCCAGGGAATTCTTGGAGCCCAAGGCATGCCTGCTTTGTCCACCAGCGTTGCGCGTGTCATCATGCCACTTACCCTGCACACCTGCTGGTTGCTGGAGGCCTCCGCAGAGCATCTGAGTAGAGCCTCCCCTGGGACCCCAGGCCCGACTCCAACCATGCCCAGGGGACTTCCAGCCCCGTGGGTGCCTTTGTTGCCTGCAAACCAGACCCAGGTGGAGAAGGCTGAGCTCGTCTCCCCACAGACCTGGGGGCTGAGCCCTGGAGATGCCGCTTGTCAGGATGGCATCTGTGTGTTTGGAGACCATGTAGCCAACCCCAACTCCCAGGGCTGCAGATTGCTCCAGGCCTTGCTGGGAACTGCCCTCCCCCCTGTCCCCCCCAGAAGTGCTATAGACCTCCCTGTGCCCTTTGGTGAATGCCGCCACTCTCTCACGCCTCCCCGTGGATCCAAGTTCCTGTGGCTGGTTGTCAGACCTCTGGGCCCTGAGGAGGGCTGGGCCTCAGGCCAAAAGGACCCTGAACCCTACCCCTCACCCTGCACCCTCCAGGTACTATAGCATTGTAGGGTGGAGGGCCCTGAGGGGAGTAGACAGGGCCCTGGCTCTTGCTGGCTGAATGTACTCTGAGAATGCCTGACCCTGAGGGCCAAGAACAGCCACTTGAGTCCCAAAGATCCCCCCCCGCCAACCCATGAGGCCTCCTGACACTAGCCTAAGCCCTGACAGTGGGGCCCATTCTCTGGGTATGGGGAGCCCCAAGCCTCACAGTGCTGGAGGTGCTGGGGTGCTAGGGCCTGCACTGCTGAGGCAGTGGCGGGGGATAGCCTGTGGCCTCCCACCCACCCCAGTGTTCATGCCAGGACATTTTGCACAGAAAGTTGGGTCTCTTTTTTTCTTGACAGAGAAAGGTGGTACCTGCCCAGGATCACATAGCACTGCACGTAGCATGGACTATTTGTTTTGTTTTGTTTTGTTTTGTTTTTTTGAGATTTAAGCTTTCACTTGTGGGGAGTGAGAGTCACCCTCAAGTAAGACAATAATAGTGAGATTCAGGTACTTCAGAACCACTGACACCTCTCTTCATAGGGCAGATAAGCCAGCCCAAGTTCTCTTTCAAAGAGAAAGGGACTCACAGCTGGTGGGCTGAGTGCCAGGACCCTTCACTTTATAGACAAAATCCGGCCATCAGTCTGGGGACAGTATGTCCAGGACAGTGGTGGGCCTGGGTCTTGAATGCAGATCTGCACCTAAAAACTAAGGGAAATGGATCATTCCCAAAGGGGCTGAGGACACCCACCCCTCATGAGCGGTCATTGGCAAGGGAGCAAGGCTACCCCAAGAGCCATATGGCAGCTGCCATCCCTCTGGACCGCAAACCATGCTCAGCATCTGCTCCCACCAGCCGGCTGGCATCTCCCCACCATGGCTGCTCTGAGGGGCAGAGGTGGGCTCTGTTTATGAGGGCTGTCAGACCACCCAGCCAAATTGCTCCTCGGCACCAGATGCAGCCTTTGGCCGCGACAGAGGCGCTATTAGCTGGTTAGCTAACAGGTCAGCCACCCTAATTTCAGAGACTAGCATTGCCTTCAGACTGGTCTCGTCTCTTTTGCCTTAATGCTGGGTGGCCCAAGATCCCAGGGAACTCTGGTTTCACGCCCAGGAGTACCATGTGTGGCAGCTGAGGTTTGGGCGTCCTCAGGAAGGGTCTGGCTAAAATTGTGGTAAGAATAGATGCATCAAGGAAGGCAATGAGGAAGCGAAGCTGTGGATGACTGGTGGGGCTGTCATGGAGAGCGGCCTCCACGGAGAGTGGTCACAGCACCTCAGTCCATCGTGTGACATTTAGAAACACTCAGTCCCTGGGCAGGCCACAAGTTAGAGGTCACCTGGTCACCTGCCAGAGGTCATCTGGCAGATTAACAAGAAAGCTACCTGTGCCTGAGACAGTGCCATCTGCCCGGGGAGGGTCATGGGGGTAGGATGCAAACCACGCTACGTTGTGTTCTTGCACATGTCATGAAAACAAGGCTGGAGAGAGCCCAGACTTCAGGAACTTCTGCCCATAGCATGTGGCACCCATGACCCCTGTCCACTTGCTAGGGGCCCAGCGAAGCCACACTGGACGGTTGGTTTTGTTCACTCCAGCCACAGGGACAAAAGGGATCTTTTGCATTGCAGAGATTTTCTACATATATATATTTTGTTTGTAATGAGCCATTCTCAATAAACATTATTCTCACTGCAAAATGATGGCAGCTTATGGCCCACCTTTGTGAATTCTTGTTTCCCTCCTAAATTCTCAGCATGAGCACATGTGAATCCAGGTCCTTGGCCTGCCATACCAGGTTGTAGCTCAGACTAGAATCCTGTTTAACTGCTTTTCGGTTCTGCCTCCCTCCTGATGCTCATATAAGGATTAGGTAGGCAATGCTAGAAACAGAAGGGCGTCAGAGCTGAGCTTGACTGTGGTTCTTGAAGAGGGCATGGAGGGCACACAGCTTTGGGCAGGAGGAGGGTCTGGGGGGTGGTGGAATCAAATGAGGGAGATGGTGGGGCCCATAGGAGGCAATAGATGGGGGGAGTCCTGTGGGCAGGACTCCGGCATTCCCTGTACCATCCACCCCCAGTCAGCAGCTCCCCTCACTTGGTAGCTATTGGGGTCTTCTAGTGTTACATTTGATAAGGATTCTATTTCTGAAAAAAAGGACATGTGTGTAAATCCTGCAGTATCTGGCAGCCTCGGACCTGCCCCAGGTCTCAGAGCTGAAAGAGCCAGAGCAGGCCTCTTGGGTAGGGTCCCAGTCTCCAGCTGGGACCTCATCCTGACTGACTGCTGCTCTGCCCCTCCCCAAGCCCCACATTGAGGGGATGTATTAGGAGTTCTGACTGAGGTCTTGGACCCTTCTCCAAACTGGAGAGCAGCCCTGTAGACATACTTTCAATCAGGGAGTTGACCAGCCGAGGACGGGGTGCCCTGCTAGAGTATGCCAGGCAGCACAGCACGTATTCTGCATGTGTAACCGACAACACTGGCCCCTTTCTGTGCTTCAGCAAGAGCCTTCTACCCATCCTAGGGGAAGGGGCCCCATCCTGAATGCACATGTCATGGTTGGGACAGGCATGAGAAAGACTGCCTTGGGGCCTCTGAGTGACCATTGAATACAATTATGGGAGAAAAATGACGATGAAGGAGGTGTGGAACCAGGACAAATGTGGATAAGGTAACAAGAACTGGGTAGAGCTGGCTGCTCAGAGCATGCAGATGAGGATAAGAGGGGGACAGGCTAAGGATTCCTGGGAGGGGCCCCACTGGAGCCAAGGGGCCCGGACAGAACAGAGAGCTGGGTGCAGCCGAACTGGTGCCTTTGGCCTGGGGCCTTTTAAGCTGTTGGCCAGGGCTGTAGTCACCTCAAGGTTTGACATCCTGGGGCATCTGCTTCCAGGCTCACGAATAGGGCTGTTGACCACAGACTGCCTGGGTGTCCTCATCATATGGCAAGTGGTAATGACATAAAGTTGGGGGAGGGGGTGGAGAGAGAGAGAGAGAATGAGCACCCAGTATGGAAGCCACAGCCTTTTAAAAAAATTTTTTTTTAACTTTTATTCATTTTTGAGAGAGAGAGAGAGAGAGAGAGAGAGAGAGAGAGAGAGAGAACATGAGTGGGGGAGGGGCTGAGAGAGAGGGAGACACAGAATCTGAAGCAGGCTCCAGACTCTGAGCTGTCAGCACAGAGCCCAATACAGGGCTCAAACCCACAGACCGTGAGATTATGACCTGAGCCGAAGTTGGATGCTTAACAAACTGAGCCACCCAGGTGCCCCAAGCCACAGCCTTTTAATAACCTAATCTCAAAAGTGACATCCTAGGGGCACCTGGGTGGCTCAGTCGGTTGAACATCCGACTTTAGCTCAGGTCATGATCTCACAGTTGTGGGTTCGAGCCCCATGTTGGGTTCTGCGCTGACAGTTCAGAGCCTGGAACCTGCTTCAGATTCTGTGTCTCCCTATCTCTCTCTGCCCCTCCCTCACCTGCTCTCTCTCTCTGCCTCTCTCAAAAATAAATAACTACATATTTTTAAAAATGGGGCACCTGGGTGGCTCAGTTGGTTAAGTGTCCGACTCTTGATTTCAGCTTTCAGCTCAGGTCATGATCTCATGGTTAGTGGGTTCAAGCCCCACATTGGGCTTTTTGCTGACAGCATGCAGAGACTGCTTGAAATTCTCTCTTCTCTCTCTCTCTCTCTCTCTCTCTCTCTCTCTCTCTGCCCTTCCCCCTGCTCACACATTCTCTCTCTCTCTCTCAAAAATAAACTTAAAAAAAAAAAAGAAGTTACATCCTATCATTTCTGCAGGACTCTGTTTGTTAGAAGTGCACCAGTAAATCCAGTATACACTGGGGATTACACAGGGCTAGGATACAGGAGGCAAGGATCACGGGAGTTCTGGTGGTTACATTTTTTAAATCTCATAACAGAGCTAGGAATGCCCCTGGAGACCTCTGGTCTAGCACATCCTGAGGCATGCCCTTCAGAATATATCAGTGGTGAGAATCTCTGTATAACAGGGTACCCTGGTCAGGTCAGCTTGGCAAACACTGCATGCTACCTACAGTCCCCTCTGGGAGATCTAGGATGTACAGAAAAGGCTCTGTATAATCCTGCAGCAAGGGACTCCCTTTATTTAGGTTTTCTCCCAATTAGCCACAGTTGTTCTTGTGTAACACTAGTATCCCGTGAAGCATGCTGACACTTGAGTAACCATTGGTCTAGTCCGAGGGGGAGAGTGCAGCCCAGTGAAGGGAGCAACTGGTCCAAAGTCATCACTCAACAAGCTATAGACAGAGCTAGACCCAAACCCACCACTGCTGCTTTCCCAGACCATAGTCAGAAGCAAACCCTGGTGACCCTGGGAGGGGGGAAGCCAATGCCAGAAGAGCCAGGAAGTGAATTCTGAGTTCTGGGGCTAGAGATGGGCTGCCACAGGCCCTTGGGGTTCTGCCTCCAGGTAGAAAACCTGGCATGTGGCCCCAATACTCTGAAAGAGCACAGATTCTGCTCTCCTTGATGACTTGCCTCTAGCTCAGTATCCAGGGACACACATCACGGACTTGCGCCCATCCTCTAGCGTCAGAACAGAATTGAGAAAGCCAGGAAGATACTGAGACATCATCCTGCTGTGCTGCTGGTCCCAGGGGCCAAGTCATGGGACCAGCATGGACTTAAGTGTTCATGGGAAAACCTCAGTGCCAGGAAATGGAGGCTGAGACTCCCACGGGCCCAGCGCAGTGGCCTCTCCAGTGGTTTCTCCATCCTCTCCTCCCCTCCACCTCTGGACTTCCTCTTTGTCTCTCCCTGGCCATCTGCCTCAACATGCATCCTGAATACTGCTTCCTGAGAATCTCCCCCAGCCCTGGGAGATCTGGTAAGCTAGTCTCCCCAAGCTGTTCAGAGCCCCTTGATTTACAAGGGTTTAATGTTTACATCTCACAACAGACCCATGAGGCGGCCAAGTTGCCCTCCCTTCTGTGTCTCCCACATGCCAAACTCCTTTCTTCCCTTAAGGCTCTGCTCAGTGTCACCACTTTTAAAGGAGTACCTTTCCCTGCACCCCCCAACCACATCATCCTGTCTACCTGTCTCCTCTACTGTAGCTCCCAGCCCTTAACACCTAGTATGTCCTTGACAAAGTGTGTGAATGAATGGTCGGTAGCAGATCTTTAACAATACCTGTTTTAGTGGCTTTCCTGTATTTGTCAGAGCCAGAGGTCATCATTTAGAGGGAGGTTGCATTTGAACCTTGATGTCCTGCAGAATTCAGGAGACACTCTCTCCTACAAGGATGAGTGGGAGCATTTTTGCATGTCTCATGAGCAGAGGCCTTGGCTACCTTCATTCTAAACTACCTTTTCAGGAATGTTCATATAGCTAGTAGCCTTGGAAGACATGATAGTATCTCCCTTCAAGCCAAAGACAGGCAGATATATCGCCTATTATAAAAGATTTGGGTTCTTCAAACTCAGAGTTCCTCTCCTGTAACAGAACCCACTGAAAGTGCAAGAGTCCCTGGCCCTGGGGCTTGGAAAATCTACAAGAAAATGCTGGTAGTCTGGCCACTGCTATTGCTGTAATAAACTTTGCTCCGATCCAGGAGTGTTCTCTTCTACTAGCATCCATGAAACTGTGACAGGCCAATTTGAAAATAAGGCCCTTCATCATTCTTAAAAGTCCTGGCAACAAGGGGATGCTCACAAAGACGTGGTTTTCTGGAAGAAAAAGAATGAGGGCCTTGCAGGCCATTAATGGGAAGTCCATGAGAATCAGTAGCAAAACTTATTGACCAACTTGTATGGTGATCAGGTGATTGATAGTCCTTCACTCTATTGCCTGTTAATGAAGAAGAATTGGAGAGGGGGCTGTAGGCTTAGTCCCTGCAAGTAAGTTCAAGACAGTTACCTGGATGGTGCACTGGTCATTGTTAACTCTCCGTGGGCAGGAGGCATCCTGCATTATCTGGTGGTTGTAACAACTAGTAGTAAGTCCTCTTGTGGGTGCACAGATGGTTGTGACCCCTTCCTTGTTTTTAAGTTTACTTATTTTGCGCACGTGCGCGCGAGAGAAAGAGCAAGCGAGCACATGTGATTGGGGGAGGAACGGAAAGAGGGAGAGAGAGAACCCCAAGCAGGCTCCGTGCTGTCAGCGCACAGTCTGACGGGGCTCAAACTCACGAACCACAAGATCATGCATGACCTGAGCTGAAATCAAGAGTTAGACGCTCAACCAACTGAGCCACCCTGGCACCCCGGTTGTGATTCCTTTCAAACAACCGTTATAGAGATGCACATCTACACAGAGACTAGAGGATAGGGAATTCAAAACAGCTGTGGGAAGAAAGCAGGTGGATCATTGGAACCTTGGCTGGTTTGCTTGAGCAATGAGGGATTGGAGCACATAGTGCTTGCCAAGGAGGAGTGGCACAGTTGGGCCCTCTATCCGCTCAGCCCTTCCTGCATTCTCTCATGCCAGCCTTAACCACACTAGGAGACCATGGTAAAAGTTCCCAGAGATTTCTTGCAGTAGGTTCTGCCTGCCGAAAAAAAGCTTTGGCCCTCTCAGAGAGAGTCCCATGAGACAAATTCCTACAGAAAGCCATAGAAGAAGTACTGCCAAGTATTCGGGCTCTTACTGCCTCCAGTTGGGTTTGCAATGCAGATGAAGGTAGCTGACAAGAATGATAAACCCATCCAATGCTGGAATGC